AACACCACAAAACCAATTCCCACAATTTAAGACACGTCCCCCATACTCCCATATCTCTTTCTGCCCCTCCCTGCATTAGTGTTACTGCCTTACTGGGTCCCAAATCTGATGTGACTGCTCACAGACCACACAGAACCATATTTAGGAGGTAAAAAAAGGCTATAATTTGGTTTAGTAGTAGAATACAATCTCTCATTCAGGACAGCTGCCAAGGAATGCTCATGCCTCGTGACTTTAGGCCAATGTTACAAAATTTTTAGCCTTACCAATTATGTACCCCCTCATCCCCCACCCAGCTGTCCAATAAACTTGGGCAAAGGCTCTTAGCTCCAGGTCCAATGGCATAGTGGTCTCAAGGGCCCACCTCAGCCAGGTCTCTGGCTCTCTGGCTCATGTTAGGTCTCTGTTTCTCTGCTGTAGCTTCTATGACTTCTGCTCTCATAGACCCACTTGGTCTGTCTGGCATCCTGAAGGAAAAGTTGGATTCTTTTGTTGGTTCTTTTCTGGTAGTGAGGTTCAATCTTCTGCTGCTAGATCAGCTCAGTTTAAAATTGAGATTAACCAATCCCTTGTGGATTGGTGAGAATAGCCAATCCCCTTGTCTATTCGTGAGACTAGCCCAACATCTTGTGGATAGGCTGACACACTATATTCACATATTCCCACCTATCCATATGGCAAACTCAGGCAATGGCTAGGAAATCCATTTTAAATAAATCCTCAACTCCACATTGTCCCATAAATAACGTATTTTCACACAGAGAAAATTTGTCTGTTTGGTCATATTGGGCATTGGAACAATTGAGGAACAGCTGTAAGCTAAGAGATAATCTGAACCTCTAGGAGACTTCTGCTTATGGGCTGGGGGGGCGTCATCTTGGAATTACTGCTGTTGCTCTAAATATTACATTCTGCTCTTAACTCCATGCATTCTTGTGCTATTGGAATTCTCTTGCTTTTTGAAAACTGATGCCTATAATTATACAAAAAAGGAATTGGTGGTTCAGGTATAGAATATTCACCTACACTAATATAAGCCATGTCCAGATGAGAGAACTTTGTTTAACTCCTGGCTAATATATTTCATGTACAACATTCTCCTATTTGTCCCTATGAGCTCACATGTAACTATGATGCTGGATAGGTTTTTGCAGAGCTTTTAGGCTAAGCTGGACCAGGAGAAAGGGCCTGAGGATCTATGCAGGCAAAATAAAAAACAAACCCTCTAAATAGCAACAGTTCAATTTCTAACCAATTATAAGGGTGGTGTGGGACCAGACAGCATTTCATTCCACTGAGCATGGAGTCTCCACAGCTGACAGTTCCTGGCAGTTAACAATAACCACACATTTGCACACATTGTATCACAGATCAGGCTTTTGTTTCTGTCACCTAACTGCCTCCTGGAATGGGAATACTAGTAAACCTCAGCACATTTGGCAGGCCCTGAACTTGCCTAGGTTTGCTCCCTTAAGCTCTCTATACATTTATCATGCTCATTCCTGCCTTCAAGTTATTGATTATGCTGTTTGTCAAGATTATGCTATAGTCAAGATTATATCAGGAATTCTATTTCCACAAAAGAATGAAGCTTTGCATTTTCCCAGGAGGGGCCAATCTGGCCAGAATTTAGCAATAGTTAATCAATTTATCTACTCTAGTTATAGTGGATGGAATCCCTGTGTGGCTCAAATAGTTAATGTGCTCAGTTATTAATGGAAAAATTGGAGGTTCAAGTGTACCTGGAGGAATTTCAGAGTAAAGACATGAAGTTGTACTTCTCAAAACCAACCATAGACACCTCTTTGGAGCACAGTTCTAATCAGACATAGATGGGATGACCATGAGTTGGATTTGACTTGATAGCAACTAGTTAATATATTTGTAATGTCATTGTATTATAATCAGAGAACATAGTTGTTATCAAAGCATTTCTTTAAAATTATCCGAGTTAAAAAAAAAAGAAAATCTATTGTCTTGGATGTGGTCAATCTTCGTACATTTTCCAAGTAATTTTAAAAACTAGATACAGTCTTATTATTTACTGTAGTTAGTGCAAAAGGCTCCAGGTGGTGCCTGATTAAAGTGCTCAGCAGCTTACGGAAATGTTAGAGGTTCAAATCCACTAACCATTTCATGAGAGGAGGATAGAATTCTACTGCCATAATGATTATGGTCTTGAAAATCCTATTGGAAAGTTATAGTCCTTGGAAAAAGACCTGATGCTAGAAAAAGTGGAGGGTCAGAGAAAGAAAGGAAGACCCTCAACAAGAGAGGTTGACAGTGGCTGCTAATAATGCATTCAACATGTCAGAGATCTTGAAGATGGCAGAGGACAGGGCAAGGCTTAGATGTGTTCTTCATAAGGTTGATGTGAGTCAAAATCAGCTCGATGGTACATAACAAGAACTCTATGCTATGGGTCCCTGTGAGTAGGAAAACTGGATGGCAGTTGTTTTCTTTCTTTGTGTTTCTCTGTGTTTGTGGTGTAGTGGTAGAATCCTCCTCTGCCTGGTGAGATGCCTAATCATTCCCAACCAATTAGTTGGAAACTTATGTGTTGCTATGACTAGTAGAACTTTCTAAACTAGTAGGGATAAGAAAGAAAGACCTAGTGTTATAACTCTTTTTAAAAGAACCAGTGAAAAATTGACAGGTCATAATGGTCCATTCTGTTGTAGATGAAGTTGCAATGAGTTGAGAGCCAACATAGTGACAACAATGTTCTACAAAGTCACAGCAGACATTGAATTAGCAAGTTGAATCATTAATTGCTCTTAAACACAGTACTAGACTACACAGCAAACTAATAATCAGCTGAGCATGATATGTGTTTCAGTTTGAAGACACCTGATTTTATATTTTTATACATATGGATGGAACATCACACACACACACACACACACACACACACACACTATTGAAAACACTGAGCTCATAGCCAACAGCACTGTAATTCAAACCTGAACATATTTTCTTTGTCAGGCACAATACAACCTTCTTGTGCTTAGAGTCACTAGACAGCACTTCAGCACTTCAGGAGAACACTCAGCGGCCATTTCAAAACATAAAACTACCAACAAAAAGAACAAACAAAAATGTGGAAAATGTGGCTCTAGATAGACCACAAACAGGGAACTCGTTTACAATGTAAGAGCTGAAATAAAAAGGCAGAACAAGGTAATACTATCTTGTTGGTTTTGGCTGGGAGGAGCCCTTTGAGTGGCATAAATTTGTCATCATTCTGTGTAAATCTACTGATGACTAAAAAAGTGCTACAGGTATTGATTTTGGGGGTTACAAATTTTAGCAAGCAAGAGAATTCACAAAATCTCATTCAATGAATGATAAGTAGTGACTCTGTATTTCTCTGTTATTGGGTGTAATGTTCAAGAGATTGCCAGTAGATCAAACTAGATAATTATATTTTTTATATTCTTCTGTATTTAACAGTATTTTAGTATCCTTGATCTATCACTAGCTTCTAAATAGGTGTGGGTTTTGCTTTTGTTTAAAAAATCCTATTATAATGTTAGATTTATCAGTATGTTTTGAACTTACATTTAAAGAATTACATATGTTGAGGTTATATAATAGGGGCATATAAATATATAACTTTTATATCTTTGCAATGATAACATTTTATATCACTACATGATTAGTCCTGTTTATTGCTAGAATTGTTCTTGTCTTGCAGCCTATTTTAGCTATGTCAGTATACTTACTCAAACTATATTTTAGATGTATTTGCCTGGTCTCCCCAGCATTGTCTAACTGTAAAAAGCATAATTTTTTTCAGCCACTTTCTAATAAACTTTTTTATCTCTTGTCTTTTTCAATTAAAGACTCAGTAAATGCCTTGAGGAGAAAAAGTGGTGCAAAGAATCAAGCTCATTTCTTGGTGTCTCTCTTTTCTTCTTCTCCTGTTACCTTAGTTGCAGCTTGAAACAACTTTCAGATCTATGGGATTTTTCATACTTGTTTTTCATAAACCACAAATTAAGGCGTTAAAAACTAAAATCCGTCTTCACTGGAGTTGGCGTCTCCCTTTTCATTCTCCTTTGAATCTCTGTCTCCATTCAAACTCTTATGATTGTTATTGTTTTTATTGTTGTTGTCAGGTGATTTTTATTGTTAGATTTTTGTGTTGTTAGAGTCAAATATGACTCATAGCAACCCTGTGAACCCATCTGAAACCTGTCCTATCCTGTGCCATTCTAAACATCCATAGCACACTTGAGCCCATTGCCAGAGACATTGTATCAAACCATCTAATTGAAGGTCTTTCTCTCTTTTGTCAACTCTCCACCTTTCCAAGCATACTGTTTCTTTCTAAAGAATAGCCTTTCCTAATAACATGCTCAAAATATTTGAGATGAAGCTTTGCCTTCCTTGTCTCTTTTGTGCACTCTGGCTGCACTTTCTCCAATACATATCTGTTTTTTTCTTTTGACACTCCATGAGATACTCAGTAAACTTCTCCAATATCACAGGTCAAAGTCATCAGCTCTTCTTCTGTTATCCTTAATCATAGTCTAGCTCTTAGTTGCATAACAGATATTTATAAAGACCATGACTTGGATCAGACATTTTAATCTTTAAACCAACATCATTGTTCTTCAGGAGTTTGGAGAGGATGCTATATACCTTCTGGTCTCTTGACTGCTGGTACTAAGAGTGATGATTGTGGGTCCAAGTAAGATAAAATAATTGACAACTTCAATCTTTTCTCCATCTATCATGATGTTGCCTATTAGCCCAGTGTTTATGATTTGTATTTTCTTATTTTTTTTTACATGTATGGTTAGTGTTTTATTTTTCAAACAGGAGTTCTAAAACATCACACTAAATCAGGTCAAAAGGTAAAGTTTAAAATAGACTGTTTTATAAGGATAAATGATAACATATGTAATGACTGTTCACTCTGCAAAATCTTCATCTTAGGGTGTATGATACATCTGGTTGGTCGTAGAACCCAGATTTTCCTTGTTAGCTAGTCATTATTTTTCTCTGGTCTGCAAAGACTTCTCATTAGTTGCCTTATGGTTTTGTTGCGTGATCTCAGAATCCCTATGCTTTCTCTGAGTGGCAGTCAAACTGTCCCCTTTTCTTTCCCCCTTGCTAATCTCCTGGGATTTGGTCATGTTTTTCTGGTGGTCAAGTTCTCTTTGATTTCCATGGGCCATCCTGACCACCAGACAGAGGCTGGAAGAGAGCAACTAGGATTTGTATTTTCTTGCTGTTGAGATGTGATCCATATGGAAGGCTATAATTTTTAATATACAGTAAGCACCTCAAGTCTTCCTCAGTTTCAGCAAGCAAAGTTGTGTCATCTGCATAATATAAGTCATTGGTGAGTCTTCTTTTAATTTTGATGCCACATTCCTCTTTATAAAGTCCAGCTTCTTGAACTGTTTTCTCACTGATAATGAAGGAAGAAGTTTAAGCTGCTTTGAAGTCACTGGCAAAAAACAAAGTGCCAGGAATTGATGTAATAACAATGGACATGTTTCAACAAGCAGCGACATGCAATCCTGGATATGTTCAGCAGTCTGTCAGAAAACATGGAAGACAGCTACCTGGGTAACTGAGTGGAAGAGATTAATATTTTTTCCCATTTGCAAGAAAGGTGATCCAAAAGAATTTGATAATTATTGAACAGTATCATTAATATCACATGTAAACAATGAGCATAGACCAAATGAGCTCTGGGAGGATATCAATAAAATCATCCATGAAGAATGCAAAAGATCATTACAAAGTCTGAAAAAGAAGAAAAGACCAAGATGGATGTTAGATGAGACTCTGAGTATTGCATTAGAGCACCGAGAAGCCAAAGCTAAAGGAAGAAACCAAGAAATCAAAGAGCTGAACAGAAAATTTCAAAAGGCAGCTCAGCACGACAAAGTAAGGTACTATAATGAAATGCGCAGAGAGCTGGAGTCAGAAAATCAAAGGTCTCAACTCGCTCAGCATTTTTTAAGCTGAAGGAGTTGAAAAACAAATTCGAGCCATGGGTGGCAATACTTAAGGACACTTTGGATAGAATGTTAAATGATCCAGGAAGTATCAAGAGAAGATGGAAGGAGTACACAGAGTATCAGAAGGAATTGGCTGACACAGAAGAATTTCATGAAATAACATAGGCAAGACCCTATGGTGATGAAGGAGGAAGTTCAAATTGCTCTGAAGGAATTGACAAAAAACAAGGCTCCAGGAGTTGATGGCATACCAGATGGCATATTTCAACAGATAGACACTGCCCTGGATGTGCTCACTAAGTTATGCCAAGAAATCTGGAGGACAGCCAGCTGGCCGACTGACTGGAAAATATAGGTATTTGTTCCCATCCAAAGAAAGGTGACCCAACAGAGTGCAGGAATTATCGAACAATATCATTGACATCACACGCAAGCAAGATTCTGCTAAAAATTATCCAAAAACGTTTGGAGCAATATGTCAAGAGAGAACTGCCACATGTGCAGGCCAGATTTCGAAGAAGTTGTGGAACTAGGGATATTATAGCTGTTAGATGGATCTTGGCAGAAAGCAAAGAATATCAGAAGAATGTCTATCTGGGCTTCATTGACTATGCAAAGGCTTTTGACTGTGTGGATCACAACAAGTTATGGCTGACTCTGAGAAGAATGGGAGTCCCAGAACATTTGATTATGCTCATGCAAAACCTATACTTGGACCAAGAGGCAGTCATAAGAACAGAGCAAGGAGATACTACATGGTTCAAAATCAAGAAGGGGGTCCATCATGGATGCATTCTGTCTCCATACCTTTTCAATCTGTATGCAGAACAGATCATCTGAGATGCTGGGCTGTACGAAGAGGAATGTGGCTTCAGGATTGGTGGAAGAATCGTCAACAACCTGTGTTATGCAGATGACACAGACAACCCTGCTTGCTGAAAATGAGGAGGACCTGAAGCGCTTGCTGCAGAAGGTCAAGGACTGCAGTCTTCAATATGATTGAAGCTAAACATCAAGACAACAAAGATTCTGACCACTGAGCCAATTGGCAGCTTTAGTATGGGTGGTGAAGAGATTGAGATAGTTAACAGTTCTAGTTTACTTGTTAAAATCAAGGAGGAGTGTTATCAGGGGTATCTCCTTTATATCTATTTGTTATGATTAGAGGAACAAAACAAAACAAAACAAACTCATATCCATTGAGTGGATTCTGGCTCTAATTTACTAAATGAGACAGAGGAGACAGCCGCATAGGGTTTCTACTGCTGTAAGTTTTTACAGAAATAGAGTGGCATATTTTCCTCCTGCTGAGCAGTGGTGAATAAGAACTGCTAACCGTATAGTAAGCAATTGAGCACTTAAACATTGTGCCACCAGGAATCATTTTTTAAAGTTTCATATAAAAAAAATGTATAATCTCCAGAAACAGTTCTCTCCCCATAAATTCTATCTTTAGAAAGATTTACTTCTTTTTTACCTATTGAATTTTGCTGGGCTGGTCTTTCATTCTTTCCTCTCTGATTCTCTTTAAGATTGAAACTTTTTTCTTTTTTAATATTAGTCTTCTTTCTCCTGGAGTTTCAACAAATTCCTCCCTAGAAAGCAATTGGGTGGTCTAGCATAAGCTTTCAAAATCTCCTCTTTGGCTGTTAGGATGAATAATTCCACTGGGACGTTTCACTTCTTCAACACAAGTAGTTGGTAAGCATCCTGGATTACAAAAGACCCCATTCTTCTTTATATGTCTACTTAGAAAATCTACTCTTCCCAACAACAGGAAGTCTACAATCTTTATGTGATTAATTCAGAAACAAATTGAAGCAACAGGATAGAGATGATTCTTGTGTCTGTGATCAAGCTGTTCTACTCCCTTAAAAAAAAATCTCATCTTCGTCACTGGTTATAGTTGAAAACAAGTAAAATGAAACAGAATTTGGAGCTAGCATGTTGTTATTGTTGTGTACTGTTGAGTGGGAACCGACCCATAGCTGGCACAACAGTGGGGGTTTAAAGGCAGTAAATCACACAGGAGGAGATTGCCTATCATTCTCCTGTGGTGTAGCTGATGGATTCAAACGGAATACCTTTGCGTTGGCAGCACAGTTCCTTACCACTAAGCCACCAGACCTCCCTAGGAGCTAGCACAGGAGCCCATCTGACAGTCAAAACTACACCCCCGCCACACCGAGGACCTTCTGATCCTGGTTGGCTACTTGTCCCTTATTCCTGTCTTCTGAAGTTTTAATGATGTAAGACTGGGGCCCTTGTCCTCTGAGATGTCCAGAAAAGTGAAGCTGTCTCTTTGGCTTAAGTTTCCACATAAACCATCTCTCAGCTTCAGAACATGATTTCTATACATATTCTCTATAAGCACACGTTTCCTCACTTCTAGTTTTTGGTTCTAGAAAAGTCTACCTTCATCCTAGATGGCTGCTTTTCTTTCTAAACACACACTGGGCTCTGCACCTTTTATCAGCAGCCATATGTGTAATTAATACTCAAACACTAAAGCTTGGAGGAGTCATGTCAACTAACTGCCAAAATGGAGACTATACCAGCTGTAGGATTCAATCTAAAATGCTAGGTTCCCCATGTGACTCTTGGCTCTCTAAATGCTCCTTCCAGTCTAGGTATATGTTTTCCTGGCCAAAATACCCTCTGCTGATAACTGAAGTGCTCATTCTTTGCCCACTTTCCCTTCTGTGTACTGCTCAACTGAGTACTGCTAACAAGGGAAGCAAATGCTACTTGCAGTAGAAGTTCAGCCTTCTGTTGGTAGCCCCTGATAAAGTGTTAGATGGGAAAATTTAGGTTTAAGACCCAAGGAAGGCATTTTATTGCTTCTTTTCTTCTCAACCTAGGCCTTGTACCATATCTATTAAAAAGAGCTGTTTCTTCAGATTATAATTTTCCCCTGTTAAATATATAGAGAATCTCATTGTGTTTAATAACACAGTGCCTGACAGATGAAAACCCAAACCAATTGCCACTGAGTCAGTCCCAGCTCACAGCAACACCATGCATTACAGAGGAGAACCACAGCACTGAGTTTTCTTGGCTATAATCTCTACAGAAGCAGACCACCAGGACATTGATTTGTGGCAGTGCTGAGTGGGTCCTACATGCTGAGTGATGAGTGCAAACCATTTACATTACTCAGAGACCTCAATGGGAGAGAGCAGACAAACTGAGAGTGAGACTGGACATGTGTGCAGCTTCTCCATGCTGTGTCTCACTTCTGTCGGCCAGCAGGGTACATGTGTACCAGCTCAGACTTCTACTAAGGCAGAATGAACAAAGGTGCAGAAAAGATACAGACATATTTATCTCCAAATGGCTTCTCCATCTCTGTCTGGAAATCTGTGGAAGAAAGCAAATGTTTCCTTCAGCAGATTCCCACTGAGCAGGGGCCTGTGCTCTTGTTTTGCCAAAAATGTTCTTGTTAGATGTTACTGTGGGTGGATATATTAGAAAAAATATTGTTAAATCTTCAAAGGCTAAGTTTTCATTTTTGAAGTAGCCAGTAGATTAACCCGCTTTTGCCTGTTATAAAGCAGGATGAGGTATGTCTCTTGCTTCATTCCTTTGAGCCCAGGGTCTTAGAAGTGGGAAATCTACTTTATACAGTAACTAGTTCAACTCTCAAAGTCAGACAGCATACTAATGAGCCAGAATCTCTTTATTTATTGTATGGCTTACTCTGCTTCACATCAAACAGTGCTGTCCATATGGCTTTCTCTCAAAGACAGCCATGGGACATTGCATAAAATTGCAAAATCAGCAGCAGTAGCAGCATCGATGGCTCAGCACACAGTCTTCAGGAGACAGCCCTTCTGTGAACGAAGATTTTCTGAACAATTATTTACTATATTCCACATGAAGATGAGATAAGTCCCGGGAGTATAATGACAAGTTTTATTATCCTTTTGAAAACTTTAAAGTATCAAGTAAATATAGTATTTTACTATCTAGTATGTTGAAATCATTTAAACCTGCATAAAATATGTGCTATGTTAGGAAACTCTGTTGCCAAAGACCTTTCCAAAGTACTAAAGAACAAGGATGTCAGTTTAAAGACTAAGGTATGCCTGATCCATATGCTTGGGAGTGTCGAGGGACAGTGTAAGAAAGGAAGACCCTCGATGAGATGGATTGATTTAGTTACTGGGGTAATGGTGGTAGGTGTGTCAGAGACAATAAGATTG